TATGGACTCTCTTATTGCAGCGAAACTTAACCGTGCGACTCCCGACGATTACAAACATGTTACCGCCTAAATTATGCGTGCTGCAGCTGCCTGATGCTTCTGCTCCGACGGTACAGATGTTGTCAACCGCATGCGACTTTTTGTGTTATTCCATCCTTTGTCTTTGTACTCGCCTCTGCATTCTTCGCTGGCTACTAGTAGGAGTGCACATTGTTTCTCAATTTGCCATTTGTAACAATAACATTTGACACATTGTGTCTGTCTTGTTTGTTTTGACGTCCGACACTTGGCTTATTGGGATGTGTCAAATTAATATTATATACATGTTAGATATTTAAGGTTGTAGTAAGTTCCTCAATATTCCTACTTGTATCCCCTTTCTTTAATAGTCTACCATTCCGCATAATCCAGAGACTCGGCTTGTAACACACCCTTTCATGAGTGTGGTACTGTAAACGAATAATTTTGATATTTAACAATGCTTCCATGCATTCTCTCATGGTATTGTTTGCTTGGATAGTGAAATTCTCGTTCGTTAACTCAATTGCACTCGTAACAGTTTGCTTTCTTTACCATTCTACCAGGTATTGTTTCCTTTTTTTAATGTCGTACAGTGGCAGACTTCTACACCTGCTTTTAGCTTGGGCGAATGGACCGTTAGGGTCCTGAAAGAGCGCTTCGCTTTCTCAACAGTGGTCCGGGACGACAAAAACACGCTTAGGTTCGGTGACGTTGCACTCACCTTGATTTTGCGCGACCGAGAGGTTTGGCGTAGGTTACCCTTGTCCCAACGTGCGGGCGCCCCTCTTCCACCCAAAATGTCGTAGGCGCGAACCAAACGCCACGCATGGAGAACGTTCCCCCCGTCACTTTCGCTCCTCGCGCCACGGGTTTGACAAGACAGAAGTGACCGCGTGTCGTCCTCGCGGGTCACGTTTGCCGTTTGTCACATGCACACATGCCGAGCCGCGGAATTGCCGAACCATCGAATGGTTCTCCGTCAAATGCGATACGGTCCGTTCAAACCAAGACGCCAGCTTCCCCGCCATGCGCTCGACGGGATTTCCTTTTGCCCGCACGGGGAGCCCGCATGTCAGATGTCCCAACTGACGAAGGGATCCCAGCCAAAGCGTTTTCAACGGCAAATGCTGAATTGGTCATGCAAGGAAGCATCGGGTCGCGACCGCCAGCCAATTGCTTCTTTTCGGGGCACACGCACATAGAACGTAACCGAGTTGTACGGGTACCAAGCACGGCTAGATAACTAGCTATTCCCAGTTTCCATTCGGCTTAGGGATTGCTCTATTGCGCTCTCTCTCCTGCAGAGCTCATTGTCATCCTATCAGCCAGCTAAGTCTCCTCAGATCGTCTGCGAACCTTGTCGCTTTCATTCAGCTCAGCTTACTCGTCTAGGCCATACATATAGCTCTTAGAGTCGTAAATCCTTGAGACAGTCGGTTTCCATCTCCGCCATCTCCGTAATCGCAACTGCTCCACGTTATAAGTATATTGCAAGGCGGAGCGCAAAAGCAACATGCCGCCAAACATGGCTCCGCCAATGAAACTAGTATCGCCGTCAGGTCCAGGCAAGCCCATCGACGTGGAGAGCGAGAGCAACGAGAAGCTCAGGTCCAACTCGTTTGTGCAACGATCAGCGCGGAGTCTAAGCGGGCCGCAATTAACGTGCCTCACGGTTTTCGTCGTCGTGACGTGAGTTCTCTTGCACGCCACGGAGCTCCGCAGAGCTGTCTCAACACACCGGCTGAAATTGGTGGTTGCGTGCATCATCAGGATTTACATGGTCGTGTTATGAATAGGCTGCCATAGCTATCTGGCATTTCAATACCTGCATATTTCCCGTTCCTCATGTATTTGATTTCAGTTTCCTGCGCCCTCTCGGGCTATGCGTCCACTTAGCGGCCCAGCCAGAACGCTTGCGTTCTTAAACCGTTACGCCTTTCCCCTACCTTCCGCTCGTTGTCTCTTGGTGCAGATTCATAGGGTTGTTGTACCGCTCCACGTCACCATTGCTAGGCCAATCGGGCGCGAACACGGGAGAGGCCCCGTGGGGTGACTCCGTATGGGAGCATCAAGTACTAGCCTCGAGCAAACCCCAGGAGGCGGCGGGCCTCGTCGTATTCGTCACAGGCGCAGCGGGGTTCGTGGGCTCGCACGTGTCGCTGGCGCTTAAGAGGCGAGGCGACGGCGTGGTTGGAATCGACAACTTCAACAGCTACTACCCTGTCGCGCTCAAGAGGGCGAGGCAGGGCCGTCTCGCTGAGAAGGGAATGTAAGCACACTAACTCCCGTGCCGCGTGCCGTGCTGGTTACTCCTCTTTGACACTGACTTGCATCCGCCCGCACTGCTGTCTGTTGTCACTGGCACGTCTGTCTTTTGATACCGCCCACGTTGCCGATCCACCGTAACTCGTTCGGTTTCTTTCCTCCTTTCCCCTCGTTTCCTCGACTGCTTTTCTCTTATCCTTATCGCTCTGTCTCGCTAATGGAATGTCTGCTGTCTCGTCTATTCTCTCCCCACGCGTCCGTGCGCTGCGCAGTTTCATCGTGGACGGCGACATCACCAACCAAGCCATTCTCGCGCGGCTCTTCCAGCTCGTCAAGTTCACGCACGTGCTGCACCTCGCCGCGCAGGCCGGCGTGCGGTACGCCGTGGTCAACCCGCTCGCGTACGTGCACTCGAACGTGCAGGGCTTCGTGATGCTGCTCGAGGAGTGCAAGGCCGCGAACCCGCAACCCGCGGTGGTCTACGCGTCGTCGTCGAGCGTGTACGGGCTCAACAGCAAGGTCCCTTTCTCCGAGGACGATCGCACGGACCGGCCGGCGAGCCTGTACGCCGCGACGAAAAAGGCGGACGAGGTGCTGGGTCATACGTACAACCACATCTACGGGCTTTCAATCACCGCGCTGCGGTTCTTCACGGTGTACGGCCCCTGGGGCCGCCCCGACATGGCCTACTTTTCCTTCGCGCGGAATATCGTCAAGGGCAAGCCGATTAAGATTTTCCAGGGGCCCAAGAAGGAGGAGCTTGCGCGGGACTTTACGTATATTGATGACGTGGTGCGCGGGTGCGTGGCTTCGCTGGACACGGCGGCGCCGAGCACGGGCAGCGGCGGGAAGAAGAAGCGCAAGGCGCCGATGCGCGTGTTCAATCTGGGGAACACGCAGCCCGTGAAGGTCGGCGAGTTCGTCGGTATTCTCGAGAAGCACCTCCAGAGGCAGGCCATTCGCAAGTACGTGGCATATCCTTTTGCTTCCAGCCTCGCGATTTTGGCCCTTCGTGCTGGTTACGATACCTACCACGCGACCACCTAATCACATCATTTATCTTTCCCAGTTATTCCTCACTGGCTGATTCACTGTCTCAAGGTGTTTTTCTTTCCTGACTTTGGCTTCGTTTGACTTTCTGTGCAGCTATATCCAAATGCCCAGCACTGGTGACGTCATGTTCACGCACGCCAACGTCACAAGAGCACACAACGACCTTGGGTAAGTTGCTGGGCATGATAATTCAGTTTGGTAGCACGGCCGATTTGAGCTCTTGTTCGACTGGTAGGCAGTTTTCCATTATCATCCTAATATCGTTCCTAACGTAATATCGTTCTCCCTGTTTTCCCTGCCGGCAGCTATCAACCTACCACCGATTTAGATGCGGGATTGGAGAAGTTCGTGCGGTGGTTCAAGAGCTACTACAGGGACGGAAGCGAGAACGAGAAGACGCTTGATGGCTACAAGCCGTACTAAGGTCCTGCACGGCACGAATTAACGAACAATTTATTCCTTCGTCGCATTCGCGCTTCATTCCGTCAAACAAACCAACAACATCAGGTTCCACGTCAGTACACGCTGTCCGCATCACCAGCTAGCTGGTCCCCTCCGACCCAAGTGTTTGGGAGACTCGCCGCCTGATAGCAATCCAACACGGATCGAATGTTCATCTGCCCTCATCTTCGCTCATCACCACCCGCCACAGAAAAGCCCATCTGCTCTGTGGGCATGATGTGCGCAGCGTTTTCCCCGTCTGTCATCCGTCCGCTTCACGTTGCCTCCATTTCTGCGTCGACAAATTCCCCGCGCTCGCGGTTCTACCCCTTCGCCCGTAACACTTCTCTTCGCTCTACACGTTCCCGCCACGCCATTACCAGGAGGCTCGCACCTGTCAGTGGTGAGGTCTCTAAAAGTTGGTGCAAGACTTCCTCAAAACCCTTAGGGTTTTACTGACTTATAAACGATATGCTTTTCTTATATTTAGGCATAATAAAGTGTTGTGGACAGTAGGAACATACTTTTATAGGGCTATGTATGGTGTTGTCAGTCGTAGTCCATATAGGATGGCAGTGATTTCAAAACCAGTAATAAAATGTCAATTGTGACGGAGGAGTTTGCATGTACTTCACTTATACAACAAACAAGATGAACAAGGTGGCCACATGTTATCAGGGGAAAGTATTTTTATGGTTTATTTCTTTAGGTCCTGGCCGACCTGAGCCAAAATGTCTGTTACCGTATGGCAGATGAATCTACGAACTAATGCTATCAACAGAATAGACAAACCGAATTCGGTATGTCTGCATCCTTATTTTATAAACGGTAATCTGTGCTCCGTTGATCGTTGCAAGTCTAAGGTACATGGTTTACATACGCAATGCAAATCTACGTGCTAGGGAGAGGGATGCTGTAAGAGCTAATCCTAAGGCGATGTGGAGGCGAACACAGAAATACTTTGCCATGAATATGGTGTCCTTATCCTGAAAGGAATACGAACAGACACACAGACAACAAAAGCAAGGGATGGGTATATTGAAATTCGAAGTGAACGGTGGTGGTCAAAACGAGGAAAAAAGAAAAGAAGAAGAAAAAATGAATGGTGAAAACGACGGCGAAACGAAGGCAAACAACAGAGTCCACAGTAGCCGCCGGCAAGAGCAAGGGCCTCATATCGTGAGTGCACGAGCCTCCGCAACATAGGCAGCCGAACGAACCTGATGATGCGACGAGACAAAGTTGACCACGATGCGACCGATGGGGAGCGTGGCGGCTGCAGCAAGCAGGCAGGTCCATGGGAGAACCCCCGTGGCAACAAAAGCAGCGGAGAGGATGTAGAGCGCGAGCACAGACACTCGCACCACTTCACACCCGGTGGCTGTGCCGAGGCGCACCAGAGGGGAGAGCTTGCCCTTGGCTCTGTCACCATCGATCTGTGGTAGGTGGTTCGTGGTGAGGGGACCGAAGGGGTGGGGGGGGGGGGGGGGGGGAGGCGGGGGGGGTTGGGACGGGAGAGAAGGGTTGAGAAGCATTGCGGATGAGAGAATGGAGTCATGGTGTGGCGGGAAGGGCAGATGTGGTGTGGAGAGAGGGAGGGAGGGATGGCTCTGAACGCATGAGAGCAGGCTGGTACAACTGATGGCAAGGCTCGGTATGACCAAATGGCCTGGTGGAATTGTGAACTGAAGAGAATCAGATACGGCTCAAAGCAAGGAGCAGTATGAATGCCGGCAATGCTCGGGGTATGAGTGAAGACCAGGGGGGGTCAGTAAATGCAAGGTGACTGACCTGGTGGAAGTGCGAGCAGAAGAGAATGAGTGTGGTGGTGATGCCCACCAGCACAGATGCTGCCAGCACTGCTGCTGACACCGGTGCCGGCGCACCTGGGTTGCTGGGAGAGAGGGTGACAGAGAAAGGGGATGGGGATGGGGATGGGAGGGGAGGGGAGGGGGGGGGGGAAGGTAATGGGATGGTTTGAAATGGGATGATTCGAAACAGGATGGGTTGAAACAGGCCGGGATGGGATGTGATGGGACGGGACGGGACGGGATGGGATGGGATGGGACGGGACGGGGCGGGACGGGACGGGATTGGACGGGATGGGATGGGATGGGATGGGATGGGATGGGATTGGACGGAACTGAGATTGGGATCTGGATTGGGGAGCACGGGGCATGTTAGATAGGGAGACGGAAGCAGCACATGCGACAAATAGCTGCACATTCACCTGGCTGTGCTGCACATTCACCTGGCTGTGCTGCACATTCACCTGGCTGTGCTGCACATTCACCTGGCTGTGCTGCACATTCACCTGGCTGTGCTGCACATTCACCTGGCTGTGCTGCACATTCACCTGGCTGTGCTGCACATTCACCTGGCTGTGCTGCACATTCACCTGGCTGTGCTGCACATTCACCTGGCTGTGCTGCACATTCACCTGGCTGTGCTGCACATTCACCTGGCTGTGCTGCACATTCACCTGGCTGTGCTGCACATTCACCTGGCTGTGCTGCACATTCACCTGGCTGTGCTGCACATTCACCTGGCTGTGCTGCACATTCACCTGGCTGTGCTGCACATTCACCTGGCTGTGCTGCACATTCACCTGGCTGTGCTGCACATTCACCTGGCTGTGCTGCACATTCACCTGGCTGTGCTACACATTCACCTGGCTGTGCTGCACATTCACCTGGCTGTGCTACACATTCACCTGGCTGTGCTACACATTCACCTGGCTGTGCTGCACATTCACCTGGCTGTGCTGCACATTCACCTGGCTGTGCTGCACATTCACCTGGCTGTGCTGCACATTCACCTGGCTGTGCTGCACATTCACCTGGCTGTGCTGCACATTCACCTGGCTGTGCTGCACATTCACCTGGCTGTGCTGCACATTCACCTGGCTGTGCTGCACATTCACCTGGCTGTGCTGCACATTCACCTGGCTGTGCTGCACATTCACCTGGCTGTGCTGCACATTCACCTGGCTGTGCTGCACATTCACCTGGCTGTGCTGCACATTCACCTGGCTGTGCTGCACATTCACCTGGCTGTGCTGCACATTCACCTGGCTGTGCTGCACATTCACCTGGCTGTGCTGCACATTCACCTGGCTGTGCTGCACATTCACCTGGCTGTGCTGCACATTCACCTGGCTGTGCTGCACATTCACCTGGCTGTGCTACACATTCACCTGGCTGTGCTGCACATTCACCTGGCTGTGCTACACATTCACCTGGCTGTGCTACACATTCACCTGGCTGTGCTGCACATTCACCTGGCTGTGCTGCCACATTCACCTGGCTGTGCTGCACATTCACCTGGCTGTGCTGCACATTCACCTGGCTGTGCTGCACATTCACCTGGCTGTGCTGCACATTCACCTGGCTGTGCTGCACATTCACCTGGCTGTGCTGCACATTCACCTGGCTGTGCTGCACATTCACCTGGCTGTGCTGCACATTCACCTGGCTGTGCTGCACATTCACCTGGCTGTGCTGCACATTCACCTGGCTGTGCTGCACATTCACCTGGCTGTGCTGCACATTCACCTGGCTGTGCTGCACATTCACCTGGCTGTGCTGCACATTCACCTGGCTGTGCTGCACATTCACCTGGCTGTGCTGCACATTCACCTGGCTGTGCTGCACATTCACCTGGCTGTGCTGCACATTCACCTGGCTGTGCTGCACATTCACCTGGCTGTGCTGCACATTCACCTGGCTGTGCTGCACATTCACCTGGCTGTGCTGCACATTCACCTGGCTGTGCTGCACATTCACCTGGCTGTGCTGCACATTCACCTGGCTGTGCTGCACATTCACCTGGCTGTGCTGCACATTCACCTGGCTGTGCTGCACATTCACCTGGCTGTGCTGCACATTCACCTGGCTGTGCTGCACATTCACCTGGCTGTGCTGCACATTCACCTGGCTGTGCTGCACATTCACCTGGCTGTGCTGCACATTCACCTGGCTGTGCTGCACATTCACCTGGCTGTGCTGCACATTCACCTGGCTGTGCTGCACATTCACCTGGCTGTGCTGCACATTCACCTGGCTGTGCTGCACATTCACCTGGCTGTGCTGCACATTCACCTGGCTGTGCTGCACATTCACCTGGCTGTGCTGCACATTCACCTGGCTGTGCTGCACATTCACCTGGCTGTGCTGCACATTCACCTGGCTGTGCTGCACATTCACCTGGCTGTGCTGCACATTCACCTGGCTGTGCTGCACATTCACCTGGCTGTGCTGCACATTCACCTGGCTGTGCTGCACATTCACCTGGCTGTGCTGCACATTCACCTGGCTGTGCTGCACATTCACCTGGCTGTGCTGCACATTCACCTGGCTGTGCTGCACATTCACCTGGCTGTGCTGCACATTCACCTGGCTGTGCTGCACATTCACCTGGCTGTGCTGCACATTCACCTGGCTGTGCTGCACATTCACCTGCCTGTGCTGCACATTCACCTGGCTGTGCTGCACATTCACCTGGCTGTGCTGCACATTCACCTGGCTGTGCTGCACATTCACCTGGCTGTGCTGCACATTCACCTGGCTGTGCTGCACATTCACCTGGCTGTGCTGCACATTCACCTGGCCTGTGCTGCACATTCACCTGGCTGTGCTGCACATTCACCTGGCTGTGCTGCACATTCACCTGGCTGTGCTGCGCTGCACATTCACCTGGCTGTGCTGCACATTCACCTGGCTGTGCTGCACATTCACCTGGCTGTGCTGCACATTCACCTGGCTGTGCTGCACATTCACCTGGCTGTGCTGCACATTCACCTGGCTGTGCTGCACATTCACCTGGCTGTGCTGCACATTCACCTGGCTGTGCTGCACATTCACCTGGCTGTGCTGCACATTCACCTGGCTGTGCTGCACATTCACCTGGCTGTGCTGCACATTCACCTGGCTGTGCTGCACATTCACCTGGCTGTGCTGCACATTCACCTGGCTGTGCTGCACATTCACCTGGCTGTGCTGCACATTCACCTGGCTGTGCTGCACATTCACCTGGCTGTGCTGCACATTCACCTGGCTGTGCTGCACATTCACCTGGCTGTGCTGCACATTCACCTGGCTGTGCTGCACATTCACCTGGCTGTGCTGCACATTCACCTGGCTGTGCTGCACATTCACCTGGCTGTGCTGCACATTCACCTGGCTGTGCTGCACATTCACCTGCCTGTGCTGCACATTCACCTGGCTGTGCTGCACATTCACCTGCCTGTGCTGCACATTCACCTGGCTGTGCTGCACATTCACCTGGCTGTGCTGCACATTCACCTGGCTGTGCTGCACATTCACCTGCCTGTGCTGCACATTCACCTGGCTGTGCTGCACATTCACCTGGCTGTGCTGCACATTCACCTGGCTGTGCTGCACATTCACCTGGCTGTGCTGCACATTCACCTGGCTGTGCTGCACATTCACCTGGCTGTGCTGCACATTCACCTGGCTGTGCTGCACATTCACCTGGCTGTGCTGCACATTCACCTGGCTGTGCTGCACATTCACCTGGCTGTGCTGCACATTCACCTGGCTGTGCTGCACATTCACCTGGCTGTGCTGCACATTCACCTGGCTGTGCTGCACATTCACCTGGCTGTGCTGCACATTCACCTGGCTGTGCTGCACATTCACCTGGCTGTGCTGCACATTCACCTGCCTGTGCTGCACATTCACCTGGCTGTGCTGCACATTCACCTGCCTGTGCTGCACATTCACCTGCCTGTGCTGCACATTCACCTGGCTGTGCTGCACATTCACCTGCCTGTGCTGCACATTCACCTGGCTGTGCTGCACATTCACCTGGCTGTGCTGCACATTCACCTGGCTGTGCTGCACATTCACCTGCCTGTGCTGCACATTCACCTGGCTGTGCTGCACATTCACCTGGCTGTGCTGCACATTCACCTGGCTGTGCTGCACATTCACCTGGCTGTGCTGCACATTCACCTGGCTGTGCTGCACATTCACCTGGCTGTGCTGCACATTCACCTGGCTGTGCTGCACATTCACCTGGCTGTGCTGCACATTCACCTGGCTGTGCTGCACATTCACCTGGCTGTGCTGCACATTCACCTGGCTGTGCTGCACATTCACCTGGCTGTGCTACACATTCACCTGGCTGTGCTGCACATTCACCTGGCTGTGCTGCACATTCACCTGGCTGTGCTGCACATTCACCTGGCTGTGCTGCACATTCACCTGCCTGTGCTGCACATTCACCTGGCTGTGCTGCACATTCACCTGGCTGTGCTGCACATTCACCTGGCTGTGCTGCACATTCACCTGGCTGTGCTGCACATTCACCTGGCTGTGCTGCACATTCACCTGGCTGTGCTGCACATTCACCTGGCTGTGCTGCACATTCACCTGGCTGTGCTGCACATTCACCTGGCTGTGCTGCACATTCACCTGGCTGTGCTGCACATTCACCTGGCTGTGCTGCACATTCACCTGGCTGTGCTGCACATTCACCTGGCTGTGCTGCACATTCACCTGGCTGTGCTGCACATTCACCTGGCTGTGCTGCACATTCACCTGGCTGTGCTGCACATTCACCTGGCTGTGCTGCACATTCACCTGGCTGTGCTGCACATTCACCTGGCTGTGCTGCACATTCACCTGGCTGTGCTGCACATTCACCTGGCTGTGCTGCACATTCACCTGGCTGTGCTGCACATTCACCTGGCTGTGCTGCACATTCACCTGGCTGTGCTGCACATTCACCTGGCTGTGCTGCACATTCACCTGGCTGTGCTGCACATTCACCTGGCTGTGCTGCACATTCACCTGGCTGTGCTGCACATTCACCTGGCTGTGCTGCACATTCACCTGGCTGTGCTGCACATTCACCTGGCTGTGCTGCACA